CGCTGCTGCACCACCCCCCTCGACTTGTGCGCGCATGGCAGGAACCCCGCCCTCAAGATGCCGAGGGAGTGCATGCAGCTGTGGCTACGATGCTGGACATCGGAGCCCTCGATGCGATCAGGTGTTTCGAGGACGTGGTCTGGGGTTGCGCAGTGGTTGCGGGACGCCAAGCCTGAGCAGCGGAGTAGACATACACGGGGCCCCCAGTCTGCAGTTGTGAGTTACTTGCTCCAGGAGGGTTGGAACCCCATCGGCCCAGCTACCTGGCAGCTGTCTGCGTCGGATGATGGCAGGTACGATGCATGGGAATTTGATGTCGACAAGCTCACTGGAGTGCGTAGTCTCGACGTCCCGTCGGCTTTCCTGAGGGAGTTCGATACCACGGTCATGGATCGGCTCTGGCGTGAGGCAGCACATCACTTCGACGGCGACGGCATGCAGAACGGAGTGTGCAACTTGTCGTATCGAGTCTTGCTACAGCAACTCAGGGACGGGCCGCAGGGAGCCAAGCTGGCAGGTCTGCTGCTGGCGGCGGCGGCGGGCGCGGCCTGGCCTCGCACCCGACGCTCCGAGAAGGCGAAGCAGAGGCTGTCGCAGCTCTGCGCACGCTGTGGAGACGTTCCTGGGGACAGCTGTCACAGGTGCTGGGGGTGCGTGGGGCGGCAGCCTCACCCCATCTACGAGATGACGGACGAGTTGCTCATCAAAGCTCAGGCTCAACACGAGTCTGAGCCATGCTTTTGGCTGCGGGGGCTCATTCCTGCCGATTGGGTACGGGTCAAGCCGCCGCAGCAGAGCGAGGAGTGGCACGCCTACGGCTGCAATGGTTTCGAGCAGGGGGGCCTGGGCTACGGCAGCGAGGAGAGCCCCCTCTTCATCTTCGGGGACGCGAGCGGGGGAAACGACACGCACAACCCCCGCTTGAGGCGGGCGGGGGTCGGCCTTGCAGTTTTCACGGAGCTCGCTGAGCCCATGCAGATCGCCGCAGCGGTATGGGGTGGTTTGCCTGGCGGCCGCCAGACGGTCGGACGGGGGGAGCTATATGCCCTCTACACGGCCATCCGCGGCGCGGACGGGCATATCAATTATGTGACAGATAATGCGAACGTGTGTGAAGGTTGGCACGCAGGCAAAGCACATTATCCCGAGGGCGAGGACGGTGATTTGTGGTATGCCATAGGTCAGCAGTTGCGCGCGCGCCCGTCGTTGCAGGTGTGTGTCATGTTCGTGGTTTCTCATCAGGATGCTAAGGATATAGTAGCAGGCCGTTCCCCACCATTGTACGTAGTCGGTAATACCATTGCCGATGAATTCGCTGGTGAGGAGGCCAAGGTTTGTAGAGCCCCCGAGCACGAGAGGGCCCGAGTGGCTCATGTAGAGTACCAAGCATAGTCAGTTCGCATGCGGATCCTGATCAGCACTCTTCAGACTCTTGAGGCTGAGCAGAACCTTTCCCTTTAGGAGCCTCAGCGGGCCCGCGTTAGGCACCCTGGACACTGGCCCCCTGCTCCGAGGGTTTGCTCATCGTTTTCCACGCAGCACGTGATTTCTGAAAAAAGGTAATTCCTGTTTGCAGTGTAAAGGTTCCTTTTCCCAGGCTGCTCGTCGAACCTGGCTGGATTCGCCGTGTTTTACTATGCGGTCGGTCGATGGCGTTGTATATGATCTCCCCCATGGGCGTCGGGTGCATATATGTGGGGGATGGGCTCATAGTAGTCATCAACTGAAGTTTCACTCTGGGCTGGGAATTTGGTTATGTGGCAGGTGTGGCAGTTTCGCAGCCCTGCAGATTGCGAAGCTCGGAGGTGAGTGCCTCGGACCTGCCACGGGTAATCGAGCTGATTACCTTAGGAACATCTCTGCAGGCAAGTGGCCCAAGGCCTACAGCTCCTCCGAGAAGGCGCGGAAGGCCAGGGCCAAGTTGGGGATTTAATCTCAGTCAGTGAGTAACCGACACGGTCGCAATATCCGTAACTCCGTAACTCCTTCTCCTCCTCCTCCTCCCCCTCCTCCTCCCTCCTCCTCCCTCCTCCTCCCCTCCTTCCTCAGCCAGCTCTGCCTCTACGTTATCCTCTTCGTAATACCCCATGTTCTCTCCTCGTCCCCCTCCTCTCCTCCGACTCCCAATCATCATCATCATCATCATCATCATCATCATCATCATCATCATCATCATCATCATCACATCATCAGCATCAGCAGCAGCAGCAGCATCCGCATCCATCATCATCATCATCATCATCATCATCATCATCATCATCATCATCATCATCATCATCATCATCACAACCACCACAATCATCAGCAGCATCATTATCATCACCATCACCACCACCACAATCATCATCATCATCATCATCATCATCAGCAGCAGCAGCAACAGCAGCAACAGCAGCCGCAGCATCAGCAGCATCAGCATCAGCATCGTCCCCACAATCACCACCACCCCCACCACAATCATCATCATCATCATCACCAGCATCATCATCATCATCATCATCATCATCATCATCATCACCATCACCATCACCACCACCACAATCATCACATCATCATCATCATCATCATCATCATCATCATCATCATCATCATCCTCATCAGCATCACTCTCATCAGCATCAGCATCATCCTCATCATCGGCAGCATCATCGTCATCAACATCATCACCATCATCATCAGCAGCATCAGCATCATCATCGCCATCGTCATCATCACCATCATCCTCATCAGCCTCAGCCTCAGCATCATCATCATTATCATCATCATCATCAGCATAATCATCATCAGCACCAAAATGCTTACTAGCAGAAGCAGATGCAGTATCATAATTCTCACCATCACGAGTATGCTCATGATCATGGTCAGCATCATCGTCATCAGCAGCATCAGCATCATCAGCAGCATCATCATCATCGTCATCATGATCATAACTATCATCCTCATCCTCATCATCTTCATCATCGCCCTCAGCAGAAGCATGATAGTTATCAGGATCAATATTTTGATAATCAGCAGCAGCATCATCATCAGCATCAGCAGCAGCATCATCATACACATCACGAGCATAATCATCCTCAGCATATCCACCACCAACCCCACGTTCATCATCTTCATCATTATCAGCATCATCATCATCACCATCATCAGCATCGTCATCATCATCATCATCATCATCATCATCATCATCATCATCACCAGCATCATCATCATCATCATCGTCATCATCATCATCATCATCGTCATCATCCTACTCAGCATCCTCATCATCCTCGTCGTCATCGCCATCATCATCAGCAGCATCATCACCGACACCGGTATCATCACCAACAGCATCATCAGCGTTATCGTTATCGCCATCATCAGCATCATCGTCATCATCATCTTCGGCAGCAGCAGCATCCTCTCCCTCATCATCCTTGTCGTCATCATCAAAATCATCATCATCATCATCATCATCATCATCATCATCATCATCATCGACATCGTCATTATTATCATCATCATCATCATCATCATCATCATCATCATCATCGTCATCGTCGTCGTCATCGTCGGCATCATCACCACCACCACCACCAACACCATCATCATCATCATCATCAGCAGCAGCAGCATCATCACCATCGTCAGCAGCATCCGACTCATCATCATCGTAATCATCAGCATCAGCATCATCAGCATCATCACCATCATCACCGACATCATCAGCATGATCGGCAGCAGCATTATCATCATTATCAATATTATCTTCATCATCAGCATGATCCTCATCATCATCATCATCATCATCATCAGCAGCAGCATCATCAGTGTTATCGTCATCATCGGCATCATCAGCAGCAGGGTCATTATTATCACCATCAACGTCATCACCATTCTCATCAGCATCCACTCCTCGAAACCATCAGCAGCATCATACTCATCTTCCCTCCTCCTTCCACCTTCTCCTCCTCCTCCTCTTTCTCCTTCTCCTTCTACTCCTCGGTCCTCCTCCTACTTCCCACCGCCACCAACACCACCATAACCACCAGCACCATCCACATCATCATTGTCAGAATCAGAATGCCCAGCATCAGCATCATCAGAAATCAACACCATCACCATCACCACCATCAGAATCATAAGCATACATCCTCGTCATCATCATCAGCATCATCATCAGCAGCATCATCAGCATCAGCATCAGCATCAGCACCATCATCATCAGCAGCAGCATCAGCATCATCATCCACAATATCATCATCATCATCATCATCCTCATCATCATCATCATCATCATCATCATCATCATCATCATCATCATCATCATCATAATCATAATCATCATGATCATGATCAGCATCATCAACATCACTCTTCTCTGCTCCCTCCGCTTCCCTCAGCTCTTCTCCTCCACTCCTCCTCCCTCCACACCATCACCATCATCATAATCCCTCCTAGGCGTCTTCATCCTCATCAGCAGCATCATCGCGATCGTCAGCGGCATCGCCATCGCCCTGCTCATAGCCTTTAACAACAACATGGCCAGCATCATCAAGCTTTCGTTCATCAACGACATCAGCCGTAGCAGCATAAACATCCACAATCATAACATCACCGCCACCATCATCATCATCATCATCATCATCATCATCATCATCATCATCATCATCATCATCATCATCATCATCATCATCAACATCAAGATTACCATCATCACCAGCCACAACATCATCGCCGTCATCATCACCGTTCCTGCTCGTCATCATTCTCTCTTTGTGTCAACCTTATCCTCCACCTCCTCCTACTCCTCCTCCTGCTTCTCCTTCTCCTCCCTCTCCTCCTTCTCCTCCTCCTCCTTCTGCTCCTCCTGCTCCTCCCTCTCCACCTCCATCTCCACCTCCTCCCTCCCCCCTCCTGCGCCTCCTCCTCCTCCTCCTCCTCCTCCTCCTCCTCCTCCTCCTCCTCCTCCTCCTCCTCCTCCTCCTCCCCCTCTTCCTCTTGGTCCTCATCCTCCTCGCAATGTACCATTCTCGGCAGGGGCTGTACAGCGCAACGTGCTGCCTAAAATTGCGCCTAGCTGCTAGAGAGCGCGCCGGTTCAAGTCGGTATTGGAACAAAACCCTTCCCCCCGCCCCATACCCTCTCCTTGTCGTCGTTCCTCCTCCTCATCCTCCTCCTCCTCCTCCTCCTCCGCCTCCTCCTCCTCCCCCCCTCGTTGTCTCACAGTTCTGGCCTACTGGGAATGCTTTAGAGCAATGAGGTCAACAAAAAAACGGCAACCAAAAATTCCCTCAGTGCCTGGGGCCCGCCCAGATGAGATGGGGCCAGACGATCGAACCGCATCGCCGATGCATCGGCGACGCATCGGCAATGTCTGGATGGAGAAAACCGGGCTCCCGATCGAGCCACATTGGGACGCACGAACACATACTAATACTATATGTCCTCCTTGAAGACGCGCGTCCGACGCGAACATATAGTATGCCCGTCTTGTAGTAGATCGTTTCCCGAGCGGTGTGGCCAGAATGCGCCCGCCACGACGCATATACTAGAAGAGTTCTCGGTGCGGGCGTCGCCCTGGGGGGGCGACGGACATATAGTTTAAGTATGTTGGGGTGACGCTGACACATCGTCGATGCATCGGTGGCGTGGCGTGACCCCCTCACCCAGCCGACTCGGACCTCACCCGGGCGGCCTGGAGAGCGCGGGGCCAAGAGCTCCAGGGAGACCGCGCTGTGCGTGGCGACGTCCGAGGCCCTGGGAGCCCGGACACTCCCAGAACCTCGAGCCTCGCCTGGCTCCCTGCTGGCCAGAGCCAGTTTTCGGTCGGCGTGTCCCCCATACAGGCGGATGTTTTTGGCGGAAACGTGCTAAAAATACCCCAAACATGCCCCCAAAATACCCTGAAATTGTCAAAAAAATGGGCCCCTGACACGTTTCCTAACTATTCTTGAATATTCCCCCTGTAGAGGAGCAGGCCCGATGTAAGGCCAGTTCTGCGCCGGCTCTCAAGGCCCCGAGCCAGCTCCAGTCGGTGGCTCAAAGATGAGGTAACTACTGAGGAATGGGGTCCTAAGGACGAGGTGCCTTAAACAACGTAGATCTACCCTTAGGTCGAGCGTGTCCCCCTACAGGCGGATTTTGGACGAAAAATGAATCATATCCAGAAAATATGCCACTGATTTTCAAAAAGAGTCAAGAACTCGTCCCCAGACTATTTCTTGACTATTTTTGAATATTCCTCCTCTAGAGGGACAGGCCCGACTTAAATCTACCCTTGGATCCCTTCCGATCCTCAGGACCCCATCCCTCAGGACCCCATCCTAGGAGGCCTGGAAATGGGCACCAACACCAACACCAGGGGTTGCCTCCACAGGGGGAAGATGACCTTGGATTTCGGTGCTGGTGGCAATGTCTCGGCCACCTTGGAAGGCAGGATATCACCACCATCACCGAGAGCGGGCCCTTCGCCCCTCGGTGGAGGCACACCGCCGACCTTGGTGCTGGTGTCAACCTCTAGGCCTGCGACATCCTCTTTTTGATTTGCGGCCCGCAAGGAGAAGTCCAGAGGGCGGTATGACCGAGGCTGGGGCACAGCGACAGATAATTGGCGCGAGAACGCGCGAAATGCACCTGCAAACAAATTAGGAAGGAACCTGCGACATCCTCGAAGCGTCGGGCCAGCCCTGCCTCCCCCTCCTGCAGCGTCTGCACCCGGGCGGGCCACAGGGCCAGGGCGCACAGCCGGCGCGCAGTCGGGTGCCGCCAGCGGCGGCCCTGGCCCAGGGCGGCCCCAGCCGTTCAAGGCCTCCAGAGCGGCCCCGAGGGGGCCTCCGGGCAGGCGCGAACGGCTGGGATCACCTAAACTGGCACGAGGAAACACATGGGGTTCTCACAAAGACGGCTCCTGGACCCCAGGGCCTTCCCCCAGGACTGGCTGGCTTTTCGTCCTGAGTCGCGCCTTCGCGGACCCAGGGCCCGGAAGGTCACCACCAGGGGAGTTGCGACCTCTTCGAGAAGAACCCCTCAGGACCCCTCGTTCGCAGGCCTCCTCGATCCTCAGACCCCAATCCTCAAAACCACTGACGACCCAGACCTCCAATGTCTTGACCGTTTCAACACTCGGCGGCGAGACTGGAGGGAAAGTGAGAAGGGGCGGGCCTTGTCAGAAGGCTCGAAAGCCCCACGGCATTGGCAAAAGTGTTCTGAGCCTTCCCCGAAGACATGGAACACTTCTCAGAAGGCCGGAGGGCTTCTGAGAAGCCCCGCCGCCTTCTGAGAAGACCTTCTCCTTCTCACGTCCCCCCCTCGCTCGCCGCCGACCTTGACTACCTACCAGACCACCCCAACCCAACCCGAAGACGCGAATTTCGGGTTGGGGGGGTACGGGCTCCATATGTGTTTTTTCAATGTTCCCAGACCCCCCCCCACTGGAAATGGAGGGCAAATCGGGGCCTTCGGGTTGGGTTGGGGTGTGTTGGTGGGTGGTGAGACCTTGGTTGCTCCAATACGGGGCCGCCAGACCACTCGAGGCCTTCCTGGGGAAGGTGTCCTCTTTTGCCGGACCCTGGGCGGACTGCCCCCCCCCGGGGGCCCGAGACCGGCACCCGGACGCCAAAACTGTGAGAAAGCTTTGCCTTGCTTTCATGGGCTTTTTTTTGCAATCCTGGTGTTTTTTTGCAATCCTTGGTTTTTGTTGCAATCCTTCGTTTTTTTGCAATCCTTCGTTTTTTTGCAATCCTTGGGTTGTTTTGCAATCCTGGGTTTTTTTGCAATCCGGGTTTTCTTTTTTTGCAATCCGAGGAATCCACACAATCGGCGGCGAGTAAGGAGGGGAAAAGGAGAAGGAGAAGGCCCTCTCGAAGGCGGCGGCGCTTCTCAAAAGGCCTCCGGCCTTGTGAGTGACTGTCGGCAAAAAAAAACTTCTCGGAAGGCCGAGAGAATTCTGAGCCTTCTGGGAAGGCCCGCCCCTTCTCGCTTCCCCCCAGGGCTCGCCGCCGGCAAGATTCCGCAGGATACCCCCTGGGGAAGCCTCAGGATTCTACAGGATCCCTCAGAATCCCTCCCGAATCCTTGGGATGCCCAGATGGATTCCCCTGGAGCCCCAAAGATGCTTCAGTACCCCTCTCAGAATCCTGGGAAAGACCTCAGGGTTCTTGCGTGCCAGGGCGCCTGAGGTCTGGGGACCCCCCGAGCGGTGGGCCCCTCCTGCCGTTGCCCGACGAAAGGGCCAGGGCCACCTCCAGCCGCACCCGCGCCAGTGGAGTCGCACGGAAGGGAGGCGGGGCGAATCAGCCCCAGGCAGGAGGGGAAGATAACGGGGACTATGAGCAAGACCGAACCCAGACCCCCTCGAGGCATGGAAAGTTGCGACGGCCAATGTTTGCTAGTTTCGGCCTCAAGGAAGCCTTACCGGGCTCAGCATCAAAAACGACTCAGGATGAAAAACCGGTCCCGGGGAATGGGTCGAGACCATGGGCGTCGACGTTGCGAAAAAATCATGACGTCGGGGGCCCGGAAACGCGGAAACGTCGTGCCAATCCTGGTCACCGTCGATGTTCGTCAACGTCAATTTGCGCATCATCCTCGCGAATCGGCGACGGCCGACATGGACCAGGACCAAGATCGTCATCGCCAAGATTACAAGCCTCCTAGATGGGGTCCGAGTAGATGGGGTCGAAGGATCGCGCCGCATCGCCAATGCATCGCCGATGTATCGGCGATGCATCGGCGATGCATCGACGATGCATCGACGATGCATCGTCGACGTCGGCGATGGATCGGCGACGTCGGCGTGGCGAAAATCGGGCTCCGCATCGAGCCGCAGCTTCGACGCATCGGCGATGCGGCGCGATCCTCCGACCCCACCACTCCGACCCCATCTGGGAGGCCCAGAAAGATCCCGCGACATCTTGGTCATGGTCCCCGTGCCTCCTCCCTCGGCAACAGGCGCGGGAGGCGCCAAGTGTAGTTCACGAGGAAGGTGCCCCGGCGGCGGAGCCGCAGACCCACGGGCGTGCAGCAGAGCCCTCCCCCGCCGCGGGACACCACGACGGGCGATTGGCTTGGGGACGCTTTCGGCCTCTGGGGGCCCTCGCCGGGCCCAGGGACGGCCAAAAGACGACTCGCGATGAAGATCCAGCTCCAGGGAAAGGGGCACGGGACTCCCGGGGACCCCGCACGGAACAGAATCTACGAAGCAGCGCGGGGCTGGGCAAGCAGCGGCATGCAGCAGATCTCGTGACTCCCCTTCCTTAACGGGCGAAGTTTGGTATAAAATAAACTTTTCCAGCCGCCCAGGGACAGGCGCCCCCGACGGCGAAAAAGTTTAGTTTATACCGTTCTTCGCTCGCTGACTTCCCCGAGGTCCGACTTCGCGATCCACGTGCAGCAGCATCGTACAGCACTCGACTGAAGGCCCTGGACCCCATCCTTCTGCCAGGTTTTTCAAGGCGGGTCGGTCTGTGATGGCCCTCCAGGGCCTTACCAGCCTGGAACATATCCCCATCCCTATGCTGGGCACCTCCTCATCACGATGCCAATCTTAGGGATTCCTTTATTTTTTGAGGGCGAATCCCTAAGATTGTCATCGCCTTTTGGCGTGTCGATCTTAGGGATAGGGATACGTTCGAGGCTGGTAAGGGCCCGAAACCTGAGCAGTTTCTTAGGGTGGAGGGCTCAGGGTGAAATTCATATGGGCTTTTGCGCCTCGAAAATCAATCCGTCTTGTGTGAAGGGGCCCCAGGACACACAAATTAATCCACACAAATAAAAGTATTCCCCATGTTTTCCAATATTTTCTCGGTTTTCGTCTTCCCCCACACTTCCCATATTTTCCCATATTTTCTGGGAAATCGGCAATTCATTGTGTCTGTGTGTTTTTTCCCCTCCTGATTCTTAGGGTGGAGGGCTCAGGGTGAAATCCATATGGGCTTTTGCGCCTCGAAAATCAATACGTCTTGTGATTCCCCGCTGGCAGATTCAAGCCTCGAAAATCAATCGAAGCGGCATTTGAGATTTCACCAGTTGCCCTCCACCCACAGAAAACGCTCTGGAAACTGGGCGGGAACCCCTGGCGAGAAAAACGCAGCGCCCGGCATTCAGGGACGACCACCCCAGGCATGCGGTGTCCTGAACGCGGGGTCCCTGGAAGCCCCGACCCTGTGCCCGTGGCTGACTCTTCATCCCGAGTCGTTCTGACCGTCCCGGGGCCCGGCGAGGGCCCTCAGAAGCCGAGAAAACTGCCAAGAGCCTGCCGCCGTGATTTCTTCACGACGCGATCCTCCTCCACCTTTCCTCCCCCTCCCCTCCTCCCGGGCCAGTGCCGGTGGGCAGTCACCCCGCCCCCCCCCCCTCGCCGGCCCAGATCTCAGGGCTGCCCCATCCCCCCGCCGTGCCCGGCCCGAGCCAGGAGCCCCTTCGGGCGAGCGGGGTCGCCCCCCGACGGCACGGTTTTCTGTCCTAGCGTGGGACCCCCAGAGGTCTCGACCCGTTCCCCGTCAGACAGCAAATCAGGAAATCCTCCGCTCGTCTTTGGTGGGACGTAAGTCGGCGAAGAGCGCCCAGCAGCGCCAAGTAGCGCTCCATGGCGCCATGTAGCGTCAAATGTCGCTCAGATAGCGCCCAACAGCGCCCAGTGGCGCCGAGTAACGCCACGTGAGAGAGAGATGTCGTTCGTCTGCTTTGCGTACGATTGGGCATGACATTGGGCGCCATGGGAACGACCAAACGCTGACGTGGTAAAAGGTTGTGGATGCCAGAAAAATGGACACCCTGACAGTCCTATCATTGACCTTTCCATGCGTATAAAATGTAAGAAACATGTTCTAAACATGCTTATTAAAACATGTTTGGAACATGCTTGAAACATGCTCAACACATGCTTTAGACATCTGGAAAGCAGTCGGCAACACGCTTCCTCTCCACTGATCGTCCTCCACAACGCGAGGGGGTCTGGGGAGAGGCCCCCGAAGTCGCGCGCGCCACGGCGCGCGCCACGGCGGGCCAGACAGCGGAGCGCCCCGCGCGCGCCCTGAGCGCGCTCTCCGGCGGGGTGGGGGGGGCGGCGACGGCCCGCCCGCGCCGGCTCTGGAGGAGGGGCTCTGGAGGAGGAGAGGGGGGAGGAAGGGCGGTGGTGGTGCCTCCTCCTCCTCCTCCTCCTCCTCCTCCTCTCTCCTCCTCCTCCCTCCTCCTCCTCCTCCTCCTCCTCCTCCTCCTCCTCCTCCCTCCCTCCTCCTCTCCTCCCCCTCCTCCTCCTCCTCCTCCTCCCTCCCTCCTCCTCCTCCTCCTCCTCCTCCTCCCTCCTCCTCCTCCTCCTCCTCCTCCCTCCTCCTCCCTCCTCCTCCTCCTCCTCCCTCCTCCTCCTCTCCTCCTCCTCCTCCTCCTCCCCTCCTCCTCCTCTCCTCCTCCTCCTCCTCCTCCTCCTCCCCCTCCTCCGCCTCCTCCTCCCTACTGCCATGCAATGAAGCACGAACCTTATGCGAGAGAGCCCCAGTTTGAAGAGGAGGCCGCCTTCCGTCCGTGAGCTGTGCGCGCCTTCACCCGTGTGGCAACATGGTTGAGGAAGACGCAGGCGAGGGTTCCATCCGGAAACGCACTGGCCTTCACCTGTGCAACGGTTGGAAATTTCGAACGCGAACGTGCGCGGCACCAAAGCGGGAACCACACTTTGAGAAGGCACCGCCGATAGAAAGTCGTGACGAAGCCTCAATCAAGCTGTCTGGCCAGGCATACGGACACGGCAGGTGGAGCAGCAGGGAGCTCAGGAAGAGGGACGGAGGAGGAGAGCAGCAGGAGAAGGGAGGGGGGAGGAGGGCGAGGGCGGAGGGAGGACGGGGGAAGACGGAGGGAGCGGGGAGCGCGCTCACTCCCGCACACGCGATGGCCTGGACTGACCGAGGCCACGCGCTCCACAGCGCGTCGACCAGAAGAGGCGGAGCAGTGAGCGGGAGGAGAAGAGGAGCGACGGAGGACAGACAAAAAGGGGGGGGGAGATGCTGGGGGCAGCCTCCGTGGGCCAGTGAGCTGTCCCGCGCGTGCCGACGCGCGGCCCACCAGCACGAGGCAGGCGGCCTGGGGAGACCAGGGCGGAACACGAGGGAGGAGGAAGAGGAAGGAGCAGGGGGCAGGGGAAAGACAAGAGGAGCGGAAGGCCGGAGAGGGTAGGAGAGGAGACGAGGGGAGGGAGCGAGGAGGGAGGGAGGGAGGGAGGGAGGTGGAGGAGGATGCGCAATGCAAGAACAGAGGGGGCGGGGGAGACGGGAGGAGGCAGGAGGGGGGGGGGGCAGGGGGAGAGAGAGGGGGAGGAGCAAGAGCAGGAGGAGGGGGGGAGAGGGGGACGGAGGAGGGAGGAGGAGCAGGAGAGCTCCTCCCGAGGAGGAGAGGGCGGGGGGGGGGGGCAGGCGGACGCTGCAACCCCCGCCGGTGCAAGCCAGCCCAGCGTCAAGGGGGGGGAGGGGGGCGGCGAGGGCAGGGGCAGGGCAGGGGCAGGGCGGGGGCAGGGCCCAGGGGGGGGGGGA